GACTGTGTGGGAACTAAATTTGTCTGGGCAAAGCTGCAAAGCCAAAAACCTTTTTGTCTTTAGCTTCAACTGCCCACTTTACCCTTTGTAAAGGGTAAAATAGGTGGTACAAAAAATTAGTATCTCCACTAGATTTCAGTGATATTTCTCTGGCTTCACATGCTTGCTGGTGTTCCAGAGCATTTGCTAATTCTTTTAGAAAGCCTTTGCTTATTGAGCTAAGGGATGGAATTTTTTAATGTTTCTTTCCTTCTGGCCTTGCACCTGGGTTGGAGCAATTCCAAGCACAAATACAGGCTGTGCAGAGAATTGACTGAGAGTAGTCCTGAGAAGACAGACTTGAGGGTGTAGGTGTATGAAAAGCTGAACGTGACCTGTCAATGTGCACTTGCATCCCAGAAAGCCAGCTGCATCCTGGGCTGCATCAAAAACAGCATGGACAGCAGGTCAAGGAAGGGGATTCCGCTCCTCTACTCAGCTCTCATGACACCCCACACAGAGTATTGCACCCAGTTCTGGAGCTCTCAGCACAGGAAAGACATGAACCTATTGGAATGGATGATCAGAGGGCTGGAGCACCTCTCCTATGAAGACTGGCTGAGAGAGTTGGGATTGTTCAGCCTGGAGAAGAGAAGGCTCTGGGGAGACCTTCCAGTACCTAAGGGTGCCTTCAAGAAAACTGGAGAGGGACTTTTTACAAGAGCATGTAGTGATAGGACAAGGGGGAATAGTTTTAAAGTGAAAGAGAATATGTTTCAATTAGATATAAGGAGGAAATTCTTCACTAGACCAGATTGCCCAGAGAAGTTGTGGTGCCCCATCCCTGGGAATGTTCAAGGTCAAGTGGGATGGGGCTTTGAGCAACCTGGTCCAGTGGAAGGTGTCCCTGTCCATTGCAGCAGGTTGGAATTAGACAGTCTTTAAAGTACCTTCCAATCCAAGCCATTCTGTGATTCCACAATGTGTTTAAATATTTTACATATATATGGCACAATGGTCACAATAGTGCATATTGTGGATTATGGTTTTGTAAGAGGACTTGAAGATTTTAAATTCTACAACAATGATTTTCTACGACTTTATCACCCTTCCCTACAGAGCTGAACTACCCCAATTTTCTTCACAAAGATGGATGTCGTTCCTGTGATCTTCACCAGTTTTTTAGGGACCATGACTCTTTTTAAGCAAGTTCTTCTGACCATGAAATTGCATGGAAGAATAGTTTTAGGCAAACATTTGAAGTTGCCCTGACTCTCCTCTCAGCAGTCTTTCACTGACATTCTGACCTGTTCTTACTAAAACAGTGAGTTTAGGGAGATGGCTCATCAGTTTGAAAGTAAAGCAGCATCTTTGTAAGGACAAACTCTGAAGGCCTGCTAAGACTAACTGATAATAACATTGTCCAGTGTGCAGAAGAAAGCAAGTTGATCGTTGATCTGCTTGTCCAACAGACTGAAGTTGAATTTCCTTCCCTGTTAAAACTTTTCTGTAAAGACTTTCCAGCTAAAGGAATTACACACAGTGGTACTTAAAATTTAAGCGTGAAGCTACTGCTTTATATGGGCATACCTGCTCACAGTGGATGGAGGGAGTCAAACAGCTTAGGTGAGGCTCTAAACAGCCAGCTGGGAGGAGCCTAAACTACTCAAGACTGAAGTCAGGTATGGATTTCAGGTTTTCATCTCAGCTCTCTGCAGGAGAAAAGTGCTGAATCTCTCTCTCCCAAGGATCAAACAGTTGATTTTTTGTCCTTAGGATCCTTTTCAGTAGGAAGATTACAGGATCTTCATGATTCATAGGTTTCTTCAGGTGAGGTGGGAAGCCTAAGCTTATTTCCTATTTCAGCCCAGAGGGAAACAAACCCACATCCAAAATTGTCGGGGCACATTTTTACAACATAGTCAAAACAGAATGTTTTTAACACAAAAGCAACTGCTCACTGTTATGAACCTGAGGTATTTGGTTTCTAGCAAGATCTATCTTTCAGCCCAGTCTCTGGGCATCAGAAATGTGGTCATGTTTATTAACTGATGAGTTTAAAAGATAAAGCAAATTTGGTTTAACATCTAAGTTACCCAGAACGCAAAATTTGTTGTGATGCCTTTCTCAAATGTCTGATGTTCAGCCAGCAGTTACTTGTTGGATGTTCCTTGTAAGAGGTATAATGATGGTGGAGAAAAACCTGTGAAGAAGAAGAGAACTGAAGAGAAGACAGCTTTGGAATGCAGCTAAACTGCTGGACAACAGATAACTTCCTACCTCAGAGACTGCTTTTCATGTTATGAAAGTGTTATGTTTATTCAATTTAGTAACAATGTCGTTAGAAAAAAAACTCACTTCATATGTAATCTGCAGTTTCAATTATTGTTAGCCCCGTCCCTATTTGTGGATTGTAACCCCTCTGCTTATTGATCCCTGATAGTTAAAATTGATAACTTTTCCCTTTCTTTCTATCTCCCCTTACCCACATTTGGATGTGATTAGCTCAATTTCTCCATACATAGACAGCGCCTTGCATGAAACTCCCTTAATTCCTCCCAAATTCCACACAGGAATAAACCCACATGATGTTACTTGTAAGGAGTACTTGGGGAGATTTTATTTGCATACACAGTGTTTTTCACTTGGTTTCACATTGGCCTAAACTCTTATTTAGGTATTTTATTTTAGATTATATCCAGGCATCCTCTGCTGAGCTCCTATGCTGGTCAAAGACAACTGTGTCTGGTGATCTGTCAGTGAAGCACGTCCTATGAGCTCTTGTACATGCAGAAGACAAATGCCAGTCAGCCAGCTCCAGCCTAGCTGACATAGCTGATTTTTTCTGTGGTAATGGGGAGTCTTGTCCTGTACCTTCTTCCCCCAGCCGGAGTCAGGCAGAAGTTACTACCTCAGGTTAAGGTGTTATAAGCTGTACCAATCTGTTTTGCCTCTCTGCTGGAGATTAAATACCACAAGCAGAGTTAGGAAAAATCAGTATTGGTTTACACCTCTGCTGCCCTCGTGCACAGCCCAACTTCTGTAACAACATAGTTAAAGGAGCTTGGGCACGTGCCACATTTTAGTCTGCTGCAGCCACCACTTGCAACTCTTGACCCAAAAAGTGCCCTGGTGTATATACTGAGCAATTGAGGTCAATGCTTCTGTGTGTGACTGGGTTCTGCACTGCTGCTAGATTCAAAATAACATTAGTTAAGTTGAGCACTAATTTAAAGCAGATCTGAGAAACACTAGAAAGACAAAACTTACATGGTTCTTTCTCCATCTCCCTCTCACCACTTCTGTTTGCAGGAAACTGGATGCAAACTTTGACCAAAGTTTCACCAAATCAAAGAAAATTTCTTGTATGAAGAACTGGTTTTTAGGAAGGCTTCTGTACACAGACTGTGTTGCTCTCTTTGTTGATTTCCGTCTATAATCTAAAAACCACAAGAGTTCAAGCAGTATGCTTGAGTAACTAGGCTCTCACAGCAACAGGTGAAAAGAACTGTATTTGACTTATGATCAAACAAGAATCATAGAATATCTTTAGTTGGAAGGGACCCCCAAGGATCATCAAAGCCCAATTCCTCCGTAGGCCCCAGGAATCACACCACATGCCTGAGTATTGTCCAAAGGCTTCATGAACTCTGGCAGGCTTGGTGCTGTGACCACTTCCCTGGGGAGCCTGTTCCAGTGCCACATTGAAGAGTAATGTAATACAGACAATACACAAAGAACTCATAGATAACTACAGAATAAAATTTAGCTTATACATGTAATGGCTAAGCAAGAAGACAAATATTAATATTCAAAGCTGAAGTTTCACCTTGAAGATCACTAACAGGAGAACAGCCTAACAGCAGAAAAATTTAATGTAACTTCAACTGAGTGACCAAACCTCAGAGGGGTGAGGAGTGCTAGGCATGAGTGCTGTAGCATAGACTCTAGCCCAATGAAAGAGAGAGGGATGTATCTGGAAGCAAAACACTTCTTTTGTTAATCAGAACTGTATTAGTTAGGGAAAACTATTACCAACACTATTTTTACCAAGAATTTCTAATTGTTATCAAAAGTAACACATCTAAAACTAGCACTGAAGTTTTGATTCTATATTAAGAACTCTGAATATCTACTGACGTTAATCATCAGCCTTTCTGACTTCTGCTTCTTGGAAAGCCCCAGCTTACTTCTCATTTCTGAATATTTTCACCTCTGGTGCTTTCAGGTTGTTGCATTTCTTATAAGCATGAACAAAGACAAGCTGGATATATGTAATTTTTTTTCATTTTCACTAATGCTAAGAAAGCTTCTCTGTATATTAGTACCCCAATCTATTTTGCTGCTATCTTCTACTATTTAATATATGAAGTTTTCTTAGAGGAGCCCATGTTAAATGATCAATCTGCTAAGGAGCAAATGAATAGCTGAGCTAATAATTTCTTTCAGCATCCCTGCTAGATCTTGACATTTGCACTAATCAGGAAGGATTTTTATGTGATCTAATTATCATGGGGCATTGCTGCGAGTGCAAGTTCTCTGGCTTAATGAAAGAGGAAAACAAATGCAAAAGCTATAATTTAGGAAGAAGCCTTAACATAGAATGGATTTTACAAGCACAACAGAGGTCTACTAAGAATCCTGTAGCCATCCTTGGCATTACCTAATATGATGTCTTTGTCAGTTGTCTCTGAAACAGGGTGCTTGTACCTCAAGGAGCGTGTAAGACAATTCACTGGAGTGCAGAAAGAATACATTTTTGTACCATTAGCAAATAAAATTAAAATATGAGTTTTTAAAATAGTGTTTATTTTATCTTTATCTCATCCTTTTAATTTCTATTTTTTGTAGGTTTTATAATGTACATAATATATCAGTTCAATAGTACACCTGTATAACTTTTTTATAAATAAAAATAAATATACTGAGGAGTTGTGCTCAAAGATTTTTTTACTTGAGGTGCATGATCAAAGAAATTTGGAGACCTGTGTGATATTGGAGCCATCTTCCACTGAACATTTGTCTGATCAGCTGAAGAGTATGAGCCTCAGTACAGTTTAGGACTCATCATGTGGCTAACCTCAAGTAGCACTATTGAAACAGGTTACCTGCTTTCTCCACTATGGAAAATTACTCTTATGGATGAATGACAGTGACAGATCAGGCTGCTAATATGCAGACAACATATTGCCTTCCTCTTATTTATATTCATCTTCTGCTTGGATTACACTTAATATTTTTAAAAATTCTTTGCAGCTTCCCTTTCTGTAAAGAGAAGGTGGTTATACATTGGAATTTCAGCATTTCAAATCATTTGTCAATTCTGGGAAAATACCTCTGTTTGTAACTCCAGCATACGTGATGTAAGGTGAGTAAAAAGCTGTACAACACTCCATGAGTAATGGGTTCATCATGCAAAAAACGTTTTTGAATTGGGGAAAAAATATGTATCCTTTTAGGAAATATTCTAAAATAGCTTTGTCGGTGATTAAAAGAAATGACAAGAGGAAGTAGGTGCAGCAGTTTAACATGTTTGTATTGGCATCCTACAGCAGAAATGCATTCAGTGAGAAAAGTCTGAGGAAATCCAAATGTGTGTTAAATTATAAGGTAAGAAAATAATTTACCTATTTAGTATTTATAAAGTCTTTAGGAGCAGAAGTAACTCTTTCCACAGTCTATTTGACTGACAGGAGCATTTGATTTGTGGTTGTATTTGATCAGTCTTTGTAGTTTGAAAAGACTGAGTTTGTTTAGCCTTAAAGAAGAAAAATGTTTGGAGGGCTTATGTAGGAGGGAGCTCATTCTCTGTGCTTAGGGTGGGTAAGACAGGAGTCCTCAGGCTCCAGACTGAGTAAAAAAGAGTCACATCTGGAAGATTTTTTTTTTTCTTATTTATAGCTGACACTTGAACATATGCCTGAAAAAAATTATTCTATTGTTTTTTCTAAAAAGAACGTACATTTATTGTTAGAAATATAACTGAGTCTGCCATAGGGAAAGGATGTGAACAAATAAGACTCCTTTCAGTCCTATTTGTTTTGTGAAACTGTGGCTGCTATTCCTTACATTGTTTTTTTGAGGTATATGAGGCTAAATCTGGGTTTTCATGTTTCAGTGAGACAAATTCCAGGACAATAAACCTCTCAGACAAATATTTGATTTATAAATTGCCTAAAGTCCCATGGATTATAAGTTATGTGGTTTTATTTTGCTATATTGCTCTTATAATTATGTAAAATTATGCTGAACTGAGTACTGTAACAAGCACATTTTCCTGAAAATGTCTGTATGGAATTCGGGTTTGGCCATGGTTAAAAAAAGGTGTGAAAGATTTCTCTGTTTAAGGCAACAGCTCTTTTCTGAAAACAGGATATCAGTGTTATAATTAGCAATCTAGTTAATTTATTTAGCTAATTGAGCTCTTGCTCAGTCTTCTAATTAATTCCACTTGTGTTTTATGATGCCAAGTACTTTACATACATATGTCCTTGTCAGGAAAAGGCTGAAGTGTTCAGAATCTCTTGTAATTTAAGAGCTCAAGTCAGATTTTGTCTTCTGAAGTCACTTAGGCTTCATAAAAAAAACCATTTTCCTCAGCATCTCTTTCCAAACATCTGCTAGTGTGAAAAGTGAGCAAGGTGCCCACAACAGTAGAAGTGAGTAGGACGAGGACTGTGTGACAACGAAAACCAAAAGTCAGACAGCTGTTCCGTTTATTTTGCTTGTGCTTCATGGGTTTGCTGCAGGGAAAAAGGGCTGTCCTTGTCCATCCACGTGCACATGCACTCAACAAGCTGCAGAGAGAGGAAGTAAAACTGGGGTGGTGAGAGAGAGGGAAGGTGGGTGAGATGTGGATGTGAGTTGTAGGAACAGTGGGGTAGAGGGAAGGGACGTGTACTGGTGTTGACACACCATGGCCAGCTGGTTAATGTGGGGAGAAAATGGGCTTTTCTGTGGAAAGCTTTCACTGTTCTGGACAGACACATGTGACTTTAGACATTGTGAAGAAGCATCTGCACATTTGTGCAAAGCTGGAAAAGTCATTATTGAATTCGTACTCACTGCATTCAAGAACTTACGAATACTTAGGCTGACAATATACAGAGCTCTTCAAGTATTTCAGACAAAGAAATCAATTATGATTAGGCAAAAAGGTTCTTTCCACAGAGAAAGTCTAGTGCAGAAGTGACTTTTTTGTAGCTGTTTCTCTTGTGGAACAGTTAGTGTGAAAAACTCTGGGTTTTGTCTTCACTGTTTTCCTAACAGGGCAATTACTTGACAGATTAGGATAAACCCCAGGGAGCCACTGAAAAAGTCCAGTGGTTTTCACTGGGTTTTATATGAGTTTTTTGAGAAGAATAACATTTTATGTAAGGAAATTGATACCATCTGAAAAAACCTATCATTAAAGGATTAAAGCAAAGCCTGAAGTCTTATATATTTTCCTCACCATTTTTGTTTGATATGGTGCCATAGCCAGTGAGTTCATGTCATAGCCTAATACTTGTACCTCTCTGCTGAAAGGATAAGTCCTAATGAGAAATGTCCAAAACACTTCCTTTTTTCTGTTCAGCTGTGCTCTTTGGATCAAGTGCTTGTATCTTCACACATACACAGAGTAGCTGTATTCGATTTTTTTTTTTTCTCGGATTTGTGCCCTACCTTTTACTTATAAAATTTCTGGAACCTGTAAAACCAGGTATGTACAGAAATGTCAGTAGCTGAGAAGTGAGCAGGAGAGTGCCCTTTCTGCTTTACTGTTCTGTAAGGATGTCACAGGGGCTGTGAGTGTGGGCTGCCCCACCAGAACCAAGCCAGGAGCCAAGAGTGGGCATGAGGCTGATGGGGCTATCTATGCCCTCCTCTATGAGGGTCAATGCATCAGCACCTAGCAAGGGAGACAGGGTTGGTGATTATGGCCAGCCCAGAGCCCTGCAACCATCTGGCAAAGCCACAGTGATGGGGCAGGTGCAAATTCCAATGGGTGCAGTAGGTGATGGTCAGCAGGTACAGACTGGGCACAGACTGTGGTGTAGCTCAGGCAAGGGCCACAGCTGAGGTCACAGATGCATTTCCCAAGAAAAGGGGTGACATAAAGCTACCCCAGTGATAATCTTGGTTCTTTCTGCCCTGACTCTTTCCCAGCCATGTGAACCTGGGGTGCAGAGGCAGGAGCAACACTTGCAGTCTAGGAGAATGGGGGCTCAGCAGCAGAGCTGGACTGATTTATTTCTGTGAGTATCACTGAGAAATGCTGTTGTTTTACCTAAAGTGTTTTCTTGGAAGCATATTGCATTATCAGCAAAGCTTCTGCACTCCAAATGGGGCTCCTGAGGTCCTGGAGCAGGGGGCCAGCAGTGTGAAAAAGCTTTAGGGTCTATCAGGGGCCAGCATGACCATGATCTGAGGAGACTGTACAGGGAGTGGAGGTTTCAAGTGTTAGTCTGTGCAGCAGGCAATGAGCAGCGGCTCAGTAAAACTCAGCAGCTCATTAAAAATCTTGAGGGTTCACTACACCAAATAAACATGAAACTTCAACCTCCTGGAACAAGAGCAGCACCAAGATATGTTTCATCTGTGGAAACTTCATAATTTCTTGAAATCTTTGGTTTGTGAAAAATCCTTGGTTTGTGAGAAATTAAGAAAAACAAATATCTATGTGCGCGTAGGGTTTTGTTCTGACTCAGACAAAACCAAGTTTTAACAGTGCCTGAACTTCCCAGAAACCTCAGAATTCTTTCTCATCATCTCTGGAAGGAGAGATGCCACTCACCATTTTTTTCCTTAGAATAAAAAAGTTGAGTTCTACACACGTCCTTTTTAGGAAGCACATTGTTCTTTTGTGGCTGTGGCTGAACTTTTCAGAACAAAATGTAAAACAAAAAAAGACTTCCATAGTAGAGAAGAGAGAGTAGTCTAAAGCTGTAATGCAGCAGCATAGATGGGAGCAGGTAAAAGAGTTGAATGTTGAGAACATCTCCCTTATTTGCATTTACTTCATACAGCCACAAAGATAGTGACTTTTAGCATTGTGGTATGGACTTCCTGCTCCCAGGAGAGGATAAAGGCAGACAGTTTTAAAATATCTCTCTCCAGACAGTGGTTAGACCAAGAGGATGGGCAGGCACTGATCTCCTCTCTGTGTTGAACAGTGAGAGGGAATGACCTGAAGTTGTGTCAGGGGAGGTTTAGGTTGGATATTAGAAAAAGGTTCTTCACACAGAGGGTGGTTGGACACTGGAACAGGCTCCCCAGGGAAGTGGTCACAGCACCAAGCCTGACATAGTTGAAGAAGCGTTTAAACAATGTTCTCAGGCAGAGGGTGTTTCAGGTGCTTTATTACTGTCACTAGAACAGTAATATGGGAGTGAGCTTTCAGTTAGAACCCTCTGCTTGGGGGTCAGAAACCCCCCATATCAAAGCTATGGCATTATGTCCTTCCTGCCCTGTCTTGGGAGCAATTCCCTGGAAATGAGCAACAGAATTTTCAGCAGGTGCCCCTTCCTCGGCTTCAGGAATCCAAAACTGACTCAGCAGCATCTCTTGCTATGACCCTGCTCAACCTGAGTAGCTAAGATGGGGGCACTTGCCCCTCTGTCCTCAAGTCTCAGGCACCTTCATCCCAGGATCTCCTCTGACATGAAGCCAAGCACTGAGCCCTGGGCCTGGTACTGTGTCCCTGGAGCTCTGAGGTAGGTACAAGTGTTTTACTTTCAACATCTGGAAACTCTGTCACCCTTTAGCTGGAAATTTAGGATCCTACTTCACAAAGGCTATATTCATGTTATCCCAATGACTTGCATGCGTGCTGACCCCTTGCAGCATTTGTAAATTGGACTGGCTCCCTTTGAAGTTGTTCATTGGACAGTACTGAACTTTGAAAGCTTTATTGTGGGCCATTTCTTCTTGGGTTTTAAGACTTTTCACTTTTTTTTTTTAAGCTTTTTGAGTTATACTTCAGGGCTATCTGGGTGAAACTATAAGTATTCAACCGTTTTTTCCTAACTCACTTCCTCTCATTTGCATCAAATCTCCAAACAGCCCAAAGAGCCCCCCAAAGGTGACAGGTATTGAAAATCCCTTCTCATCCTCTACCTCTACTCCACTATTTATCTCCTGCCTCCAGAAGTGCCAGATTTTCCTGCTGCTTGTGGCACCTCAGCCCTAAGGATCAGCTGTATCCGGAATGGGAAATCAGAGACAGTGGATACCTTAGGAAGAATGAGTCAAATGGAAAAGGGGCAAAAGGAAGTCAAATGCTTGGTATAGATGAGTAAACAGTCCTCTTTGGGATGTTCAGAAGGGAGATGGAAGACCAAGGATTGAAGATAACTTTTTGGTTTTTAAAAATGGTTTTTAAGAGGGGAGAGCGGGAAGGAGTGGAAGAAGGGCAGGGCATGGCAGTAAAAATAATTGTGAGGACAAGTGGAAGGAAGAGAGAGTATTACTGGATGTCAGAGGCCACTTCCCGTTCTGGGACGGCATTTATACATTTCTATCCCAAGCTATGTTCTGTCAGTCTTGATACCTGCTGACCAAACCCCAAATTTTTTCATTATTGTAACAGCAGTTTTTCTGCGCATGGGTGATAAGCATAAGCTTTTCAA